GCATAATGGATATGAGTTCATCAGAGTTCTAATATGGACACAGCGCAGGCCACAAACTCAATATAAAGATCAAATATTGTGCCAAAATCAGATGACGTCATGGTTTTTTACAAATTTAATACAATCATCAGTTTCAGATATTGGTTATATGATTGCATATAGAAGAAAAGTACGAATCTTCATATTCAATACTATTTACCTAAGTAGATACCTAATCATGTTCTTTCTTTCGAAGAAAGGGCACTCGTAGTATACTTAATCACTACATAGTATAAAACAAAGTCGCAATCCGCCGTCTGTCTGTCCCTATGTATGCTTAGATCTCTAAAACTACGCAACGGATTTTGATGCGGTTTTTTTAATAGATACAGTGATACTTAAGGAAGGTTATGTGTATAATAAATACATGTATATTGCACCCGTGCGAAGACGGGGCGGGTCGCTAGTAATATTATAAATGCGAACGTTTGTGACTTTATGTTTTTGTTTGTTATTCAATCACGTAAAGACGGCTGAAGGGATTTGGTTGAAATTTGGACGAGGGATAGCTTATGGTCTGGAATAACACATAGGCTACTTTTTATTCCACGGGAACGCGGGCGAAGCCGCGGGCAAAAACTAGTTTGTACATAAAGGTCCAATAAAAATAGGAGGCGATCCAATTATAAAGATAAATGATGATAAACATTACTTTATTACTGACGATTAAGAAATTGAAAAATAAAACAATACTTTAATCGGACCTGGATATACATCGGCTTTAAACTGTCAAACACCAAGCGGTCACCGGTGACCGCAACCTATTGTTCTATAATTGTGTCTATAATTACGGTGTTCGACGAGTTAATTAGACAAAAACACCACAAGCGTTAAAAGACCGATCCTTTTGAAAAAAAAGAACTGGGCTGACGTCATTGCCCTGTACTTCTTTGACACTATTACACATACATTTTATATAGAAAACAAGTGTGTACGTACAAAGATATGATTAGAATTCAGCACAAAACGTCACACGTACCACAAATTCTAGGCCAGGAAGTCGGATAACCTTTAACTAGAATAGATTCACCGAGTCGTTCCGGCCGAACACAAGTTCCTACGCATAGATTAGATATCCCTTTATTAACCTCGAAGCTAATTGTTTGATAATCGTAGCTAAGTTTAAGTGAATTTAGTGAGGTCTGCTTCAAGGTCCTAATTGTTATGGGTCCTCTATACGAGGAAGATGATAATAAAATGGTTCAATACTATTCAGAAAATGAGAATATTTGTATACAAGGCTAGAACAGTAAAAAAGATAGTTCTCATTGACACTTTTTAATTTTTGTGTATTTTTGCTCACCAAATGGCACGAATTAATCTCTCGTTCTTCATCCAATAGGGAAGAAGCTAGTGCCACACCATTGGACACTCAATATTTGACAGCTGCTATGATTGGACAAAAAACCCATACCCACATATATGCGCAAAAAAACGTTAGCCCCCATTGCAAAGAAAGCCCACCCACTATCTAGCCGTTGATCTGGTACTTCTGCACTTTAATCACAGTTTATGACGTCACAGTTGGGGTTTTGCATCAGTACATCCTTTTTCTGCTATTGACACTAAAATCCTACTCTAGCCCGTATATCCCAAATGTCGGTCACCGGTGACCGCTCTCCATTATATTATTATTACATTATAGACCTTATTTCCAATGTTTAGAGACTAATTTAGGGGATGATTTTCAACAATTTTCAACAGGCTAGATATTAAATGGGACTTTAGCGAAAAGTACCTTTTATTGCTACATACTGACGCAACTTATCAAGAATCAACGAGTCTATAGTCTTAGATAGACACTATGTTAAACCTTAACACTACAATATTATGTTTAGACTAAAATGTGATAGAGAATCAATGTTTTTATTGAAAGGAATGTACCTACCTACCTACCTACTGTTTATTGTCAGATGGAGCCGTGGTTGAATGTATGTGACCGTATATTATTACAAGTATCAAGATAGATAGGTACAAGTTTTCCAAGTGAGTCGGCTGAGGAAAAGTCCTTTGTTTATATGACACCCGAGTGTCAGATGGGACATGCATCATAAATATTGCAAGAGATTTACGATAACATGGAATTATACCTCTTGTTTGGCGAAGGGAGACTAAGCTTGACAATTTATATGCCGTCTTTTGTAGTTTTGATATAAATTCTGAAGTAAGGAGCCGCTCTGGATGCAGATTGCTTACAACTGGTCAATGTTGAAGCCTTTGGGGAAGGTCTTTTTTTAATGGGGGAAAATTATCGAATGACTGCTCCCGCCTGGGTGAGCCGGGAGGGAGTGTCACTCTTACTGACTAAAAACCACCCCGTTCCTTCTCCTGCACGTCGAGCTGGAGCCCCGGTAACCCGTTAGGTCTTCCGCGACTCCGAATCGCCATCGGCCCTGTTGTGCCCCATCTGTGGTCTGATGGCTCTTTGAGGCGCGCGCAGAACGCGACGCGCCGTACGCTCGGGTCTGTTTCTGGTTGGACGGGGAGCCACCCATGCGGAGAAGTTCTATGTTCAGTTTATTTAGTAGTGGAAGTCTTATGGCTGATATAATTTTGATGAATAAGAGAGAGACTTATTGCTAAAAAGACTCTCTACCCATTAAAATCTAAAATTAATCTAAATTAAAAGACCTGTACACAACCAACCAACGAAAAAATGTAACCAAGAATTTTGTATTCCGAAACTGAATGAAAAAAGTATCCTATCGAGTTTCTTGCTCGTTCTTCTCCATAGGAATCTATACTTTGGAACGAGCAAATGGCAAATAAACACTAGAGGACTGACCGACAGACTCACATTTTTTTTAGTACTTTAATACTTTGTTGTTGACGTTCAAAAGTGCCTTCCTGGTCTAATTGAAATAAATGATTTTGACTTTGACTTTTACAACTTTAACATGAAACCCATTTCCCGTTTCCACGCCATAACTTGAGAACGGTTGTACGAAGTCGCGGGCTGAAGCTAGTAACATATAAGAACCTTATTTTATTGATTATAAATATTGTAAACCTTTTAATATGGCAGTAGGACGCGCGATATCAATAAAAACGCGTTATAATGCGCAGTTATAAGTTATAGTTTGAACAAAAAACGTTAGCAACTAGTTATACATACGTACGGAAGACAACGCTCTTTGCACTATGTGATAATGATAACACATATACTTTGGACTGCGTAGTTCGACTAAACAACGTCTTTGTTCTATACGCTTTGTTTTAGGAGTACTATTGTTATTTTGTACTACTACTCATGATTATTATTTGTGTTATCAGTTCTTAAGTAGAGCATAGAAGCAGCACTATTTTCAATATTCGATGTTATCCTAAGCCGCGAGTCGCGGAGAACCTAACGGGTTACCGGGGCTCCGGCTCGACGTGCAGAAGGAACGGGGTGGTTTTTAGTCAGTAAGAGTCTGACACTCCCTCTCGCCTCACCCAGGCGGGAGCAGACATTCGATGATTTTCCCCCCTTAAAAAAAATCCTAAGCCGCGAACAACTTAACGGGTTACCGGCGCTCCAGCTCTGACACTCCCTTTCATCATACCCAAGACGGGATAAGTTATTAGTTGATTTCCCCTTCTCGAAAAAAAAAACGCATGGCTAACTATTTATTTTATATTTATTATCTATGTTTTAGTTAGCACCATAACGCCAACTGCTTTGAGACATATATTTTTTTAATTCTTTAAAATGTAAGTAAAGAATCACGTTTAGAATCATAAAACTATCGTGACTTTGATGACGTCCCTAAGAATGGTACAAGTCTTAACAATTAATTTAAAAGCATTAAAATGTGCGATTCGAAGGACTAAATTCAGTGGCAGTTCAAAACAAAAGACTATTCATGGTTATTTATTATTTTATTTAGGTCAGTACAAAGTACCTCGCGTTTAATTTAATTTGGATTCTTGAGTTGTTTAACTTATGTCATTTCATTAAGGCCAGGTCAAAAAAGGATGTATATTATACTAAATTATTTTTGGCTTGTGTGGTCACAAGTGGACTGCCGCGAAAAGGGTCTCGGGTTGGATACCCAGGTCGGGCAAAGTATTACAGGGTATTTTAGAAACTCTTAGTAGTAGCACGGAGTCTGGAATTGTGCCCGATATGTGGCAATAGGCTTACCACCATTGGGACTTACATGGGACTCATAAACACCTACTCATACTTATATAAAAATGGCATTAATAATATTTTATAATGATGTTTCATGCATACACAATAATACACACGCCTATTATAGTAACTTGAACAATAGTAAGTAAATTACAGTTTTTCAGTAGCTGATACTATCTTTCAGCGATAAACATGCAATAATCAACAATATAACATACTAACAGTGTCATTATATGTAAATAAAGTAAATGTTTTTAACTATTTACCAGCAACATAAGATATAAATAAAAAATGAGTCATCTATGGAAATCTATGCATAACTTCCGAACGGCTGCATCGATTTAGATATGTTTCTTTTTTTTGTTGCGTTCATATTTTTATGACAAGGTTTCTATTAAAGGTTTATTGGATCTTCATCTAAAATGTGGCAATTTACATACATACATACATACATAACTTAACGCCTGTCTCCCATGAGGATAGGCAGAGACTAGGAAACGCCAATTACCACGATTCCTACATACCTCTTTCGCTTCATCAACAGTCATCAATCTTTTCATGCATGCTCGTCGGTTAAGGGTACTTTTAATTTGGCCCTTATTTAATATACCGCCAATCTGGTCACTATATGTGTACACTATAGGTACAAATTAGTAGAAAAGTGATTTCGACGCTAAATATTTGTTGGTTTACAAACAAATAAGTAATAATATACACAGCTTTGTGCAAGATGCATGAACCTTCAAATTCTTTGTCAATTCGCACAAGCAAATGTCGACGTATAATGAAGCAGTAGAAAGTTCAAAATTCATTCTACCTCCAGAACTTAAATGTATGAACTTACCCTAGAAACTGGTGCACATCTTGCACACGCTAGTCCTGAAGGTGGTCTGAGTTGCGGTTCTGGGGCTGGGATCACGGGACCTTCCTTTATCCTGAACAGCGATGACTTGCGGCACTGCATAAAGATAATATATTCAATTAATATTGCAATTTAAAGATAATAATTTTATGTCGTGGTGGCCCGGAGGTTTAAGACGCCCACTTCTCATGCATGAGGGTGCGGGTTCGAAACCTACCAACGGCAAGTACCAATGTGACTTTTTCCGAGTTATATGTACTTTCTAAGATTATTTAGACACCACTGACAAACGGTGAAGGAAAAACATCGTGAGGAAACCTGGACTTATAATTTCTAATTATAAGTTTGAAATCACCAACCCGCATTGAGCAAGCGTGGTGATTAACGCTCTAACCTTCTCAGTGTGAGAAGAGGCTTTGCTCAGCAGTGGGCATTTATAGGCTGTTGATGTTGATGATTGCAATTTTAAGGGGAATTGTTATTCGAATAACGACTTAAAATCTAGAGCAATAACAAAACTGATGAAAATATTGTAATAGTACTTCTTGAAGGCATCCCAAGCTACTTGTAAGTCTATCAACCGCCCTTCTATTGTTTTAATGGAATAGGAGGTAAAGGAGCAGACAGGTCATCTGATGGTTAGCAATTAGAGTAATCCTATCCTAACACAAATCTTGTTTTCTATCATTTTATTATCGTTCCTCAGTCCTCAACATTTCTTTGTTCACCTCTTGAAATGATAGACTTTAAAAAATAAAACTAATGACCTCGTTAAGTGACATGATTGCATATGCATATCGCATTACATAAACATGTTCGTGAATCATTAACGTTTGTTTTGGCAATATGAAAACGTGTGATGGTTAAAATTTACCGTGGAAATATTCACTATTACTCGTATGAGTAAGTAATTCGCGAATTAGTCTAGTCATAATCAGATTATCACCTAAAATTGTGTGCAGATCACATCTATTTTTAAGAAAACATCAACGGTTAGTACGTCACAAATGAAATGTTTTCCTGCTAATATTGTGGAGCTAAAAATACGATTTGGAGACCACGTGTTTGAAGTATACATTGTTTAAGTGATGATTTTAAAACAAGTGAATTTATTTCTGCATATAGGCTACAAGGCAGCACTTTTCCATGTCAATTTTATAAAGCGAACGATGAGGTCGACATTTCCTAACCGACTACTCTGAGAACAAATGCCGAAACAAACTCAGAAGACCGTCTCTTTTTTAAACTATTTCTATTCTCTTTGCAAGAATTTAATAAATATATTTACACATATAATTATATTGTATTTGACAACCATTACTTACGTCCTATCAGTAATTTAACTGCCAACGGTTCAGCGGACTTATCCATTCATGATTTATCTATTAGTCGAATTATTATAGCGACCAGCTTTCTAAGATTTTGATGCACATACACAATAATCATTAGTTTAATATAACTCGATATCACAAGATTACAACAAAAAAACTTAAAATCCGTCTATTAAATCATTTCGTGACAAAGGTGTTGTTTTCTCAATAATAACGTTGTTAGTGTTACTTAACTTGAAAACAGTTATAACTAGCGGGTAACGCAACACTAGTAGGTACACTAAACGACAAACTGTTTATGATCTCACGATGTCCACACACAGTGGGATTGAAGATGGAGTCAAGGCATTGCATTACGCAGCTGATCGAAATTTAAGTATTTGAGAAATTGCAGAAATATCGTCACCTAGGATAAATTACTAACGATACTTATTTTAAAATTGCAATGATGATTGCGATTAGAGATTGAAGTGGAAACAAAATACTGGATATTTTGAAATTGTGTAATCATTTTCTCGAATTAGGACCGATTTCACGGACGCCAGATAAATTTTATCAGAGAATTAACTTTGAATGTTTGGCAATTCTTCCTTACTAAAAACTGTCAAATGGCCATTTTTATTCTACAGTAAAAAATTATCTGTTGATTGAAAAATTGGCCCAGCAGTATTTGATACAAATTATAGAGATATAAACAAAGAAATGAGGAGTAAATGATAATAGACATCGATGGAGCCAAGATTGACTCTTCTATATCTAATTCACTCGCTCACAAATTAAACTGAATTGACATAAGAAAAAAAGAAAAGATAGATAGATACTTAGACACAATAAATGTCTTTTGACACCTGAACAAAGTATTTTCTATCTCTTTTTAATAAGTCGAAAAGAAAACTTACGTTAGCAGTACTATCCAGCTTTGAGTACTCTTGTTGTCGTTTGCGCGCGCGCACGGCTTGCCTGAGCGAGCTGCTTGTGTCGCGCCCGCACCATCCCCCCACCCTTTCGCCGACCACCTCTAACATGTCGGCTACACGACTGTGGACAAATAAAACAATCGGATTATTAGTGTGAAAAATATATATATATTACTATTTCTGCGCGGTCTCGCCCGCTTTGATCGGCGTCTAATAATCATAGCGTAAGGTTTCATAGCTTATAGTCTTCCTTGATAAATGGACTATACAACACAAAGAGATTTCTTCAAATCGGACCAGTAGTTTCTGTGATTAGCACGTTCAAACAAATAAACAAACAAACAAAATCTTCAGCTTTATATAATAACAAAAAAAGTAGTACGTAGTTTAAGATTCCGAAAAGTTTCATTTGAATTAAGATATGGACAATATCTGGAGGCCTACGATGAAACACGCCTGTCCATAAGCAACATATTAACTTAGAGTCTTAAAGACATTAGTCATAAAGGGAAACTCTATGTCCCACACTAGACGTCTTGTGACCGACATGATAATGATGATGATAGAAAGTGGAAGCCATCTTCAAAACGAGAGGAATGCCATAAATCTCCTTAGCATAGGGTCGAAGATTGCAGTTCAGGTGACATTACATGGTGCATACCCTAAGGCTCTAGATAGCAATTCAACCGCAAATTGCAGTTCAAATGCAGTTTGAGCGCAGTTGACACGACTGCAATAGACTAATCGGACTACTCGTTTGGATTGCAACCGTTTGGTCATGACTGCAGTAGAACTACAATCGGACTGCATGTTTGGTCATGACTGCAGTAGAACTGCAATCGGATTGAACGTTTGGTTCACAGTTCAATAGGGTAGTTTCCTAAATTTTATTTCAATGTCCGTCTGGTACAGTAATTTAAAACTTTAAACACGTATTTTTTCTCTTCTCACAAAATTAAATACTTTCGACGATACATTAATTTGAAATATCGTGTGACGTCACAGCGTGTCACATTTTGTAGCACGTTATGACGTAACGACCTCCCACTCCTAAACTTAGCGCCATTTTATCTAAGTATTGCAACTTAATACGAGAAAATAAAAAAATACGTGTCTAATATGTTTTTCATTATCTAACTGACGGACTAATTAGATTTTCAATTTTGATACCCTTGTAACTACCCAATTGCAGACGTGTCAACTGCAATCAAACTGCTTGCGAACTGCAGTTTGTGGTTGGATTGCAGGGGAATTGCTGTCTAGTCTTAGTTTATTTTTTAACTCGTCGAGTACCAGTTTTGTAGACACAATTATAGAACAATAGGTTGCGGTCACCGGTGACCGCTTGGTGTTTGACAGTTTAAAGTTTGCCCCACACTAGGATTTTCTCCTGTGCCGTGCGTGCGTTTACAAACATACAAGTTCACATACACATGACAACCAGACTAGGAACAACAATCTGTGGATGCGACACGTTGCGGCGCGGCAGTCAGTTGCCAACCACAGCGCCAACCGTGCAGTCTGTATCTTCTGATGCCGAGTAGTAAGAAGAATAGTAAGAGCAATCGTATCTTGTTCGTACAAGAAGAAGAAGATATTTCATCATCATCAACATCGCACAAGTACACAAATTATGTACTCCAATCTTAAGTCAATAACCGTTATCGCCATTTGACGTAACCACGCGATAGATTATCGATTTTTCGTATAAAAAAATGATTTCACTAATAATAATATGCGATGATCGATCAGAGGGCATAATATCCTAATATCCTATATGTTTATCATTAATTTCAGATTTGCAATAAAAATCGCACGTGATTTGAGTGATAACAGTTCTTTTGATAATATTATAGGTAATATTATTCGGTATGCAGTTGATGTTTATTTGATATGTTTTTTTTTTTATTAGCAATTTGTAGTACGTAGTGACGTGGAAGTTCATAACATACTAACGTAATTTTGTACTTGTACTTAAAATCTGATAATTATTATATTCGTGAGTGGGTACTACTGATTAATTTTAGAGCATAGAGTGGTCTTGGTGGCCCGAAAGTTTAAGACGCTCGCTTTTAATGCATGAAGGCGCGGCGCGGGTTCGAATCCTACCAACAGCAAGTACCAATGACTTCTTCCAAGTTATGCTTATGCACTTACTGAGATTATTTAGACACCACTGACAAGCAAGAAAGCATTGTGAGGAAATCTGGGCTTATAATTTCTAATTACAAGTTTGAAATTGCCTACCTGCAATGAGCAAGTGTGGTGAACCGGTGATTAATGCTCAAACCTACTCCGTGTGAGAAGACGCCCTTGTTCAGCAGTGGCCACTTATAGGCCGTTCATGTCGATATTTAGAAACTTAAGACCGAGTAAGACATGTCAGTACCTACAAAAGATGATTAAAACCTCTTCTAGTTTAAGGTTTTATTGCATAATTTGATTTACAAACGGATCTACAGCCAAATAAAAACTGATCTAAACAAACTTAATTTTATATTTCTAAGCCAACATTTTACAGATACATAATAAGGATATCCGTTCACATACAAACTCAATTACTATTGCTACAAAATTAAACACAACATGGATCTAATATAAACACGAGGATGGCATCCCAAACACAGACAGTTTCATTGCCAATTAAGATTTTTTTTTGTTTATTTTAATACTCATAGCACACTAGCAGAAGATGAGACAATTATTTAGTTCTTTAATTTTGAAATCGTAAAATGCAAATGGCGTAGGACATTAAAGACTTTAAAGTGTATGATCAAATAGTTTACTGTTCAAATGTCAACACTCCGGTGTTTACGTTTGGTGCAAAACCTGACAGATTTTTTAAACAAGTAAGGTTTTCGCTAGTGTGTCCTGCCCTTAAGGCATTGGCTGCCAATAAAAAACTGTTGAAGGCAAATCCTCCGCTAATGTCGGTCACCGGTGACTGCCATGGCGTTTAACGTGTTAAATAAAAATTAAAATACATAGTAAGTCTACATGTAAGCGAGCCTGCAGACCACCACGGATGGGGCCCAATAGGGCTCATGCCGATACGGAGCTGCGGAGAACTTAACGGGTTATTCGTACTTCGAAGTGTATGTGTAGGAACAGGGTGGTTTTTAGTCAGTAAGTGTCTGACACTCCCTCCCTCACACAGGTGGGAGAAGACATTCGATGATGTTCCCCCTTAAAAAAAAGTCTACATGTAAACATACTGCGCATAGTTATGGATCCTTGGTGTAATTATTTACGTAAGTAAGTTGAACAACCTAATTAATTTAATGAAGAAAGTAAGGTATTTTAGATATTATTTTTAACATGGAGTAGTGTGTCAGAGCAACTAGTTACGATTCAATTCTTTGTTTACATTATATGTACATTTTGTGAGACATACTAAATTAATTATTATGCCGCGCTGCTAGTTCAATTTTTATTCATGACTTATGAAAATACGTTGCGCGGAAACCAAAAATACTTATGACTTTGACAGTGTTGTTATTGAAATATTTACATAGGTACATCAAGAGTTTAAGTCATTTCTAAAAATAGGATAAAGTTAGGATTGACATTACACAATGTAGGAAATCAAGACATTTAATATGCACCAACTTTTAAATCTTACTCTTGACATCAAAGAAACAGACCCACTATCGTTTTTATTTTCATACTAGTTTCTGCCCGCGACTTCGTACGCGCAATCCCGTTTTCTTCCATTCCCATAGTATTTTCAGGACTTTTTTAACCTCTTGTGATTATAAAAACGATACTAAATTGCGTTTTATACGCCATACGATACCAATTAATAAAATACTCGTATCTGAAAATAATGATCAAGAAATGAAAAAGAAAAACACTCCGGTTCTTTGCTCCGAAATGTAGTTTCTGGAAGTAAGTATATAGAAATGACACTGCAGAACAACGATAACAGAACAAAATTATCAAATAAACAAACACATGTAAATATTGCAGGTATTGTTATCGTACATAAAAGATAAACAAATGTAATTATGTATTCACGAATGGATTAATATTCGAATTTTATATCCATAAACTCCCTCAAAACTAACAGAAAGACATGAACATGAAATTTCTAATAACATTGACGATTTTAAAACCCGCAAAATGCCATATATTATGTAAATACTTGTAATATATTTAATTTTACAAAAAAAACTTTAGTATTTCTTTTTGTAAAATTATATAAATTCTAAAGTTTCTTTCTGTAAAAGTAAATCTAAACTTTGATTGATGATGATCTTAAACTATGATTTATCAATCATCAAATATATTCAAAAGATGATGATGATGATGTTCTCTGGTCACAATCATCATCATCATTGTAAAGGCTGGTCCGGCTACGCAGGATAATACATGAAACACAGTGATGTTCAATGAATTCTATTTGTATAATAATATAATCATGTTGCTTAAATATTTGTATAGTTTAAAACGTTGCACAATTTATTGTAAATGTGAGAGCCCTGTAATTAAGTAAATCAAATTAGACTAGTAGATTGCATTAATGTCAGCTTGGAGTTGTCATGCTCACTCAAAGATCTCGTTGGCGGTGGCACGTGCATTGGATCGCTCGATTCCCTACAAAATGGTTGAGTTGGGCGGTGCTAGGGTTCGCCAAATATTCGTGAACGGGCACCGTCGATTGGAACTGGTCAGCTCCAGACTGTATCATTTTATTTTATTATCCTCAAGGTTATTTTCTTTTTCAGTCTTTCTGACTGGATTTAGGTGTTGCATTGTTCTCACATAATCGAACCAATAAAACTATGTAAGTAGAGAATTGTATTGTAAACCTGATTGAAAAAGAATAACCTATGGAGTTTCTTGCTCGTTCTTCTCCATAGGAATCTACGCCTTGGAATGAGCAACTAGCTTCACTTATAAATTTTTGTTGTTTGACGTTCAAAAGTGCCATCCTGGTCTAATTGAAATAAATGATTTTTACTTTGACTTTGAAAAAAAACCTCAGCCATTTACCCTAACGCATTGACGACTTAGGTTCCTCTTATTTTAGAGACATAATTCCTGATTATTGTGTTCCTAGATACAGTGTTAGGAAACTATCTATATCTTAATCACCAAAAATAGGATAGGGTTTGGTCCACTACAAGGACAATGAAATAAAAAATATTACAACATAATTATCGGTAAGAAAATCACAAATATCTTGCATCATAATTGATTGTAAAAATATCCGATTAAGACAAGCGATTTACAAAAAATCTGTATCTAGCATGACAAACAAATCCTTATAATTACAGTACTATAATATACCAGTCCATATAAGTTTTATTATATTATTAATAGTCTTCGTTCGCATGGAATAAGGGCTACCGTATTTTTGCTCACCAAATCTAGGAAGATTTTTTTTGTCCAATCACGGTAGCTGTCAAATATTGAACGTCCAATGGCGTGACACTAGCTAATTCCCTATTGGACGAAGAACGAGAGGTGCTTACTTGCACCACCTGGCGAGCAATAATACGGTAGGCCCCATTCAAGGCTCGAGTGAATACGTTGCTTATGGGACGACGTGTTCCATCGTAGACCGCATCATTGTCTACCACCAGGCGAGATAGTGGTCAAACGTCGGCCCATCAAATAAAAAAAAAATAAGATTACTCCTTTTGGGGATAAAGGTAACCTATGTAAAAACAGGATTGCGCGTACGCAGTCGCAAGTAATGTAATATTAGATATCTATAACATTGTTGATTATCTACTGAATTTGTTGTTGTATTTTAATCTGTTATTTTAGAATTGCGCTGTATTTTACTTCATCCTCCGTCTCTTTGTTTACAAAAAAATCTTTTTATGTTTATAAATAAAGTTTGAGAATTTGAGGTCATTAACATTAAACGTGTATTATTGTTGAACTCGCTAAATACTTTTATCATTTTAGGCAATTTTTTTGCAATATTTTATGAAACAAAATATTAAACAATTTTTGTAAACATTGTTATAGAAATGATAGTTAGAGTTTACGATATCACCCCGAAAAGAAACCTAGAAAGCTCGGTTATCATATTATTTCATTAATTGGTAACGAATGTGGTATAAAGGGTAATTTAGTTACTTTTAAAATGAGAACATTTTGTTTTAAAAGGAACAATTTTATTTAAGGTTATAAAGAATTCTATAAAATTAAAAAAAAAACACGCCCAAATTGTAGTTTCACCCGTGAATGTGTAAACCCTAAACCTACCACATAGGTAAGCAATTAGTGCTAAAAAATGAGAAAGCAGTCTAAAAGAATAGACACAATTTTCCACTGTTCACAGTATCTAGATTAAATAAACTGTATAGCAATAAACTCAGTAATCAGTATGAACGATCGTGGGGACAAGAGAGAGTTGACTCACTTTCAATTAAATCACAATTATTACCAGTTATAGAAAAACTTGTGTTGGACTGATACTTTTATAAATGTTATGATCTTAGAAACTTTGTTTTCGAATACTTTACTCAGATATTTCAAGAATTTCTATGATATCAAGTTACCACAAAGAGAACATGTACATTTACATCGTACGATGTAATTTTTAACCCAACCGCGTCTAGCAAACGCGTTTCAAATATAATATATTATGTACTAATTAACACAAATTAGTTTTACCTACTGTTCAAGGTACTAACGAATTAGGTCATAGTTTCTAATTTTTACAAACAATTCATAATATTATTCAACTGCTAACTAGATTTATTATACAATGACTCAATATTATTATTAATAAACGAAAACTATTATTTATTCTTACTGCCTAAGCTATTCCATTATTGTTAAAAATAATGCTACAGTTCTATACGTATTATATAAAAAGGTATCTACAAATATTGATACTAACTCCAAAGTATCGACTAGAAACCTCACAATGCGTACAAATTCAAAAAGAATTGCAATTTGTAATCCAATAACATTATTGAGTAGGTACAGAATAACTACAGCTACCGGTATCGCTTTACTGTTATGAAATAATGAAACAATAATATAATTGTTCTGAGGTATTTGCGATGGTTGAATGTGGACGTAGGGTGCAGTGTACAGACCTGGAGGTGAAGAACCAGTAGAGTATGGCGGTGAAGATGGCGAGCTCGGCGGCGCCGCTGGCCACCCGCACGTGCTCCACCATCGTCCACACGCTTATCATCGTATCCATCTCGCTGCTGTTGTGCACCGAAACTACATCACCGACCGTCCAGTTCCACAACGCACTGACTTCCACTATTTTCGACGTAATCTTCACTGATTTTATTAGCCAATTTATATAAATTTTCACTAGAGTCTCGCAAGTTTACGCAACTTTAATCTTCGTCGAGATTCTAAAAAAAATACAAATTGTCGATTTCAATTTCTTTGCCAGTGGAGGTAAGACGTCTTACCTCCTCGCAAGTCGGAGTCGTATTGACAGTGTCGTTGTGCAGATGTCACAATGTGCACTCCGGTGACCTATGCCCGTTGAATTGCCCGAAGCGTTTGCACTAACGTGATAGATATCGGAGGCAATGGTTCTCCATGCGATACAGATATGAAAACAGTAATTAATAACGACCTAATTGCTTAGTGATAAACTGCTGAACTGTGAACGAGCAAAGTAAGCGCGTGAAGGAGATCACGATTGATATGGATGGCAAAATTCGCACTGGCAACCAGTAGGGAGCGAGTACTTAAAGGACAATGAGGGGGACCAATGAGAGGTGGGGATCGAACACATTAAACTGATACAACACTTACGTGAACATAAATAATGTACAATCATTGGCATTATTATATCAACATGCCAATTTAGGTGATAAAATAAGTATCACTGATTAAACATTAATTAGGTACTGATGGAGAAAATGTTATATCATTGCGAAAAACATGTGAGGAGGCGTGTCTTTTCCCGATATTAATTAGTTGATGAAATAGTAAATCTAGCAAATTCTTCTCAACACAACATGTGGATTCGGGCGTGGTAGATAATGTTCATCGAATGCTCATTATGTTATGCGTGATTGATAAAGTTTAATCAAGTGTCAAATAGTCAATAAATAATTAAACAACAAGTTGAAGGAGTTCAAGAACAAAATGTAAATCAGAAAGTAGACCTGAAAATATTTGTTGCCTAATTTGTAGTTCTCTACAATTTACGAATATTTATTTATCGGATATAATTTGTAGTTCTCTATAATTTAGGAATATTTATTTGTTCCCTAATTTATAGTCCTCCATAATTCCGGAATATTTATTTATTTTATTTATTGCCTAATTTGTGGTTCTGTATAATTTAGGCATATTTATTTTATTAAGATGGGAAATTCGTACTAGAATGTTGACATGGTAGTTGGTACTGAATTCGATTTGCAGCTAAACTTGGATTAGTAACGTGAAGTATTTTAGGGCATGACAACTTATAAGGCAGTGCGCAATAATTAGGGTGCTACTGATTTAAACGGCTCTGTTTACATGAATGTTTTTCTGTTGTTCGTTACAGAAAACACGTGATGAATAAATCGTACGATTAAAACTTTTTGTAGATTATGACTATGAGCCAACATTAAACTTTTGGAGGTATTGTACATTATGTTGGACTTTAATCTTGGTTCACATATTGTTTCCTCATTAGACGACTATGAGGACTTTAATTTTACAATCAATTTCTAGCGTTATTTTAGTTCTGATAAGGTACAAATTTCCTTTTGTCGGTCTAAGTTTTTAGGTGTAAATGAAACTAGCAGACGAAAGCATAACATTAACTGCCCACTCAATGTTACCACAACAGAATGAATCAGTTCAGTCATTGTACGCAAATTACGATTTGTATGGATCGGCTACTGAATTGATGCAATCATGTTTTGTGGGTCAAATTGAATTTCCTTTCAAGATATTCATCAGCAATAAAACAAATTAAGAGACTTTTGCGAATAATACTACCTAAAATAATCTTTACATTTGGATCACCAGAAGAGTTCGATCAACATTGTTTTGGGATACATGACAAAACAAGGTCGAGACAAGACTTTGTTATCAACACAGGTATCACATTAATAACAAAGGCAAAAAGACGTTTTGCAAAAGATAAGCTATCTGACAATCAAAGAAAGAATGCACGTGGTGCCTTGAGATTCCTACTTATTGTTTGCCACGCATCGCCAGAGGAAAAAGATTCTCGCAACCAAGTACCTGACTAGAATGAAGATGTTGATGCAAGGGCAAATGAAGATTAAATCTTTGAATTTGATTAAAACATTGTCTAAAGCAATGCGTGTCCAAATATTGTCGGATGCCAGAAAGCCAAAATAAAAAAAGGTAAAAAATGTTAATGATGTCTAAATTTTAAGGGCTCCTTGCAGAAAATTGCACGATAGTCTACTACATCACATCTGCTTCAATCAAAAAAGTAGTCCTTTAGCAATCCAGTGGTCATTTTGTTTATTCGTTTTCACATTAGCAGCAATGCCTTATAAGTCACTCACACCTTGCTCAGAATTATAAACAGTTGACACACAATCATCACTTGCTACTAGCCTGTTTGTATTAATGAAACCTTCATTTTCTTCATTATATTTTATTTCTGCACATTATCTAGCTTTATTTGCAGTTAAATTTCAAGTTTTATTATTTATGTAACTTAGTAGGCACGTAGTTTCGTTAAAATTAAACACAACGCAGCGACGGTACCGTCATGTAATGAATGCATAAATAATTATTGTTGATTAGGAAAGCGAAAATTTTATGGAAGTGGTTGCAGTAATTGATAATGAATAGAATTCAGATACCAAGGGATTTCCAAAAAAAACAGGATATACATAATTCGGATAATTTTCATTAATATATATGAGTTAGGAGAGAGAAACTCTACTTAACAGCAGACATAATTGGCTTGTTACATTACCCACTTAATACAATCAATTGACAGCCCTGTTCCCTACACAAACTACACCAAAGAAAGGGGCAAAATATGAGTACCACAAGGAACATTGGTCATTTCATACTTCACTTAATAAAGCGTATAGACGATATAGCCGCTCAAATTATATGCATCTTTATGAATGAGGTAAAACGAAGCAATCAGGTCGAAACTAATGTATGAGTATCATGCGGTCTGGTTACTATTATCATTCAGTTCTCAAATAACCATTTCCAGCAAGCATTGGATAAGTAGCTCGGTAACAATATCGTTTACAATACCGACTAGCCGACTGAAGGGGTGTCATTTAACAATTCCAAATAACAACTCCAACGCCGGCACAGAAAGTGAAATCGACATGCAAGCATGAATGCTTGCGAATACTGGCGTTGTGAAAAAATGCACAGGTTGTTTTCTATGTAAAATTACTTTTTAATACTTTACCGAATAATTTTCCTCGAAATATATAACGTAACGCTTGGAATGTGTAAAGATTTAGGAATAATTTGATAATTTTTTGGCACTTGTTTATTATTAAAAGGTTAAAACGATGCGGATTTTTATGTAACACAATCGTGATCGAACGTCGCGAGGTACGCGGGCGCGATGCGTGTGATCATGCGCACGGTCGACACAGTACTGCCACTGAGGCCGGCGTGGACGCGGCATGTGCACGTCACAGACACGCAACCGTTCTATTACAGTAGCAACAGCGATAGAGTTAAAACGCAAAAGAAATGGGAGCTCTTGGCTAAAACCTGCGTGTTTTCTACGGAAGACATTATGATGTAAAATTTTGAACTGTTAATCATCAATATTTCTAAACTCACATGCTGACATCACATGAACAAACCATTTAGTGGTCTGGATCACACCTTGATGGAAGGAAAGCAGAACGCAGAAAATTAACAGAATGGAAATAATGTTCCATATTCCATACTTTTTATTTGCGTCAATTATTGTCAATTTTATTGTGTCACACCATAGAGGAGCTACATAAAAAGAACGTAGCTACTAAAAAAGAAACAAACCAAATAGTTTTTATCACATATCATTGAAGAACCACAGAATTATGTATAACTAGAATTGTCATCACCTTCGAACCAGACAAGCTTGTACGACCGTTTGAGAAGAAAAAAACTGGAATATTATGAACTTTGACACTAACACTTAATCATTAGATTTAGTCAAAACAAAAATCATACGACTAGCTAAAAATGTGCCTATTTATCTTGGTACAGAAGATAGCTAATCGAATGGTGATGTATAATGTATTACTGATACAATATTGAAGGTGTATGAAGATTTTTATCATGCAAACATACCGGAACATTTTACTAGTGACTTCGTTAATGTGCATCGAACTAAATATTAAAGGAAACTTAGCTATTGACATAGCTAAACTTTATAAAGATAAAAATTACTTGTTTGGTGCGTTGGTGGGCGCAAAACTCGAAAACTGCTGCACTAATTCAGATAGCAGACGCGAAACACTTAACGAAATCGTAGTTTCTTGGCAAGAAACATAGCAACGATTAATTGTCTATTTTATACGTTATACAATTTATGTTAATGTAAGAAAACGACAGTAAAATCTGTGAAGAATTGAATGTTTACTACGAAAACATCTGCTTAGAATATTATGGGAATGTACTGGCAGTTATATCTTTTAGGAAAATATTTTCAACCAGTAGCAAACGCTTAGATTAGATTTGCTTTTTGTGGCTAAAAAGCTGAACAATAACGGGTTTCCAGTATTTTCAGCGATCATTATAATCAAATATCCCAAATTCTTAATTAGATCTTTTTATTTCTGATTATCTTGTTTGAGGGTATTTTTTTAAGGGATAAGCCGGCAAAAGAGCAGACCTATCTCCTGATGGTAAGCAATCCACGCCGCCCATGGACAACCCGAACCACTAGAAGCGTTACAAGTGCGTGGCTGGCCCTATCGAGGTTAGGAATCTAAGGATTGGGGATTCGGGACATACCAAGATTTTAGATGGAGTTTTACTTCTGAATAATTATTTTTTTCTTATCTATCTATATATAAAAATGAATATCCATTCGTTAGTCTCGCTAAAACTCGAGAACGGCTGAACAGATTTGGCTTATTTTGGTTGAAATGTTTGTGGAAGTCCAGGAAAGATTTAAAAGGCTAGAAAACAAATGCTTAGGCGGTGAGGAGATTGCCGGGACAGCTACTAGTCTGTCACTATATTTTGTTACCATGCTTAACGCACATTAAGTTGAGAAGTCACTTGTAAGACAACGAGATTGCCAAGTCAATTAGAATAAGACGTAGCATAGACCATAAAACAAAAATTAGTCTTTAATAATCTAAGTAATATTTTAAATGCGTAATGAATTAAGATATCAAAACAAACGCTAATATTACATTTATTATCAGTATAATATTTGGTTATACGCATTAAATATTGATTAACAAATATATTTTTATAAGAAAAATGCGACGCACTGTTTTCTGTAAAAGATATACATCTACATACTTAAATGAAAAAATAAAAATCTTAAAATGTGAAAAAGGCACCAATCTCGAGAATGGCTAGACCGATTTAATTGATATTTTTTTGTTGTAAAGTCAGTTTTTTTTTAATTTTGAGGAAGGAAAATAAGGAAAAATTCTTCAAAGCAGTCTACGAATAACACCTAGGAGAGGCCAGGACTGGTTACTAGCTATGAAGAGTTCCTATCATAGGGACTATAGCGAAAAAAAACTTATATGGTTCCATGATTCCTATAGAGTTGTTTTTACCATTTGCTACATAATAATCAGCTTTACAAAAAAATAATAAATTATCCATCGGATTACTTCATAGTAAATC